GCAGTGCCATGTACTTAAAGGCCGAGAGCATCGCAGTTAGTTATGGCATGGTTATATTGTATAGTTTTTTATTCTCTTTCCACAGAGTAGTACTAATATATAACCTCGAATGGACGGTTGCGGGCGGGTGACCCGACCAGGGCTCGAACACGACACCTCTAAGTTGAGTCCAAAGCAAGGTTATTCGTGGTTTAGACACAGAGTGCCCTCAGCTAGAATCAAACCCGGCACCTTCGGAGTTCGAAGCCTGTCTCGTACAGACATGACCCATGCTCAGAGCAGAATATCCCGGCTTCACCTTGAACCAGAATTTGACGGCACGGAACAAACATCGCTTGTACGCTGTTTAGCCTTTTGCGGAACAACCAACTGTTGAACGAACATTTTGTCAAGCTAAACAGTGTATTATCCAACTGCCGGTACTGCTGTTCACAGAAAAATGCCTGTCTTTGGGCGTATGTTTCAAGAAGGAGACACTGGATATAAATTAATCTTCATAAGTAATTTATTGACAGAGATAAGTATTTAAAATTTATTTCCAAAGAGGCGGTGCAGTATTGCCATATAACTGGATGTAACGATTTGTATGGTCATTGGAGTATCGCTTAAACACGATAGAAAAGCATTTTAAACTTTTATTGTCAAAAGTAATCGTGATATTCTCGTTTTACTAAAAATACTTAGTTTTCGACTCCACCAGGTAGAACGACACTTGTTCCTCGGAATATACGCGGCTTAGTTGCGTCGTCCTCCTAGTTAATCGCGGCCTACGGGTTATTTTAAGCAGGCCAAGGCTCCATGGTATTATTGCCCCTAAATTGCATGCATGCAAAATCGTATCGATTTGTTTAGCCAAGCAATAACGTGTTCAAACACCAAGCAGTTAGTCAAGTTTGCTTAGATGAACCTTGAGACATACGATAATTTGTCAGAATTTGGATATAGCAACGAACAAATGGGAAGCACGTAGACAAGTAGTGAAAAGGTCGATCCGTGTCTGGCTAAACGAAGCATGATCCAAACTAAACGTTCTTCTTTCGTGGGATCGATCGGACATCGAACAGACAGGACAGGAACGACTGATTTTCGGTAAACGTCAGTCCAGCACCGTCGAGAAACGTATACTGATTTTATTCTTAACCGCTTCGAAGGGGGGCATTGTCATGAACGTTGCTAAGCGGATTAGGTGGGTCGGTTAAAATAAAATAGAACTACCCGGGGCAAGTTTAGGTTTTATGAAGTGTCTGGTTAGAATGCTGCAGAACTCGTCGCGCAGCAGTTACACAGTCGGGTAAGTAAGTTGCAAAGTTTTGTGCCTCACGATGCAAACCAATTATTTCCTCTGGAGAAAACTGCTGAAAAAAATAAAAAACTGATCTATGAAGCATAGAGAAATAGTAGTAGATGCGGGTGAAAAAAATCTTTCAGCACTGACTAAAATTCCATTGTCTGAAAATACTGATATATGGACAAAGATACTGAGGTTATGTGCGCATGTCTCTTCTGTCTTGGAATCGTTTGATTGCAAGAAGGTATAAGATATTCTAAGCAGCCGCCTTGGTGGACAACCGAATTTTGTGCCGTGATTTACAAGCATGGAGAGATTTTGTCAAACAAATTATCAAAAGCATGACGAGAATATCTCAAACGTATTTGTTTGAAGTTCTAAAAGGCGTCCAAAAAGGTGACGTGATATCAGTGAAGCTGTTTTGGTAGACATGAAGATGGTTTGAACTACGTTGCAGTGTCAAAATCACTGATTGTATTTCGGTCACCTGTGGTTGATGACGAGTTCTGACCGCCACAAAGTTTTTGGAAGAACTACGGCGAGAAATCAATTGGTTGAGCAATGTCAGCATCAAAGCAAGACCGAAAATGAACCACAATAAGGCTCAAGTCGTCTTTGACAAATATCGCATCCAACAACCTGCTGAAATCGATGAACTTGGCAATGGCTTGAATCAATGGCTGGAAGTAATACAAACAAAATTACGTCTATTGGCATCAATAATCTTAGAAATAGAGAATGAGTTCTGCGAAATCAGTAGACGTGTAGAAAGGATATTTTTGAGCACCTTTGGAAGTCTGAAAATGCTCTTATCTCTGAAACTGTCTTTTGCTAGAAATGGAATGCGTTCGATCATTGCGTACTGCCAGTGCTAAACACATGGATGATGCGAAACGCTGACCATAAACCTTTTGGGTATTCATAATCAACGGGGTAGGTAATGCAGCAATGAAAAGGTACATTTCAAGTAACAGAAGTAAAAAGAATTAAAAAGATGAACGAATGGACGAAAGCACCAGTAGCAACTGGATACCGTAGTTCAAGTGACAATGAGCTGCGCAGGTTCCAAGAAGAACCGAGCATTTTAGGACAAAAAAATTTTAGAATGAAGTTTCAAGAGACAGTAAGCGACCAGTGAAAAGACCTCCCACCTGTCAACAACAAGATGTGTCGTATAAACTGTTTCAACAGCTTTGATAAGGTTAGTAAAATAGAGAAATCGGTGGTTCTTGGAGAAGCGTTTATCAAGCAGTGGATCGAAAACCACTAGATGGATTAATTACATGGTAGTTTGCAAGCAAGTCCCCCTCTAGTAGCTGCTTCAGGGTGCGACGTTGGCCGCAGACACATCTGCCTCCATTTTTTGTTTCCTGGAAAAGAATGCTTTTCAATAAGTCTTCAATCTCTCTCTGCATAGTTCGGTCAAACCATGACTGCTGGCGGTCCATGATTTCTTCACACAACATTCCCAGTCCGATTGTCTTTCAGATCTTTTCATTCCTCATTCGATGGAACCAGCGCAATTTTAGAATGTTCGGAAGACTGCGATGCTGACAAATGTCCAACTTTTTTTCTTGGCGCTTTAAAATGGTTGAAGTTTCTAAGCTGTACATCAGGATTGAAAAGACATCAGCTTTCAGTATGGTGATCTTTGTTTCTGTCCGAATAGACCGGTCTTACCACACATTAGAAAATTGGCCGAAGATCACAGATGCCGTCATAAGTGTCGCTGTACTTTCATGTCTCATCTTCCATCTTTTGCCAGTACAAAGCCGAGATGCTTGAAGTTTTCGATTTCCTCGACGGTCTTTCCACTCCATTGAATCTTTGGGGTCAGTAGTCGAGTAGGAAGCTCGAAAAGTGGTTTTCGCTTTCGTCAAATTTGCTTCTGTTATAAATTACGATATACCATCTGAATCAAAGTCACATATCTTTGGGTGAACCAGTCTCAAATGTATGCTAATGTTCCACCAAAACGTATAGTCCAGGACGTTTCCATCTATGCGGTGATACTATGTGTTTGATTGTGCTTATTCTTTTCCGAGGAAGATCAGTATTGAATTAGGCAAAATGTGTATCTTGTAGTCTTTTGATGTTTCTAGTTGATGATACAGTTTGCAAAACTTATCATCCCTCTCTAACTTCTAAATGTTCGACACTTTTTGACATTCTCCTCCAGCAGGCAGTTTATTGGGTGAGGCACAGCGGCCATCTGGCGAGTAACGATCGCAGTTGCTCAGACAGCGGTATAACGGTTTACGCCTGTTGCGCGTACCTCCTTTCGGTCTCCGTCTGTCTGTCCGTCCGTCTGCTGACCCGAGGTTGCGGGCGCACAGTTGTCAGACAGGTTAAGTTTCCTGGGGGGCTTCTGTGGACAAAGCGCTAAGGGATTTTGTCCGGCGACCATTTGTGACAGTTGCCCGGTCAGCCGTACGTTTCCGCACGCCCCCGCGGCCATTGGCCCTGGCCTCCTCAGTGGTCAGCCAGCCAAAAATCGTCGACCTTGACGCGAAATTGCGATCGTCAGAGACAAAAAGAGGCTAATGCTACACGCGATCGGTGCATCGCGAGCAGACCGTTGATGAGCACGGGTCGCGGAACATCCGGCATATTAAAAACTGAAGAACATAAGAACATTTTCCTTTCGTTGCCAAAGAAAAATGTACAAAAACAAGGTTCTGGTGACCCATTCTGTCGTTGAACTCA